GCAGCTCCAGCACCTTGTCGTACTTCGTCGGATGGCTGGCGTGGGCAACCATGCTGCCGATCATCGGGCTGGCTCCTCTGCGCCCCGACCGGGGACGTGCTCGCTCACCATCGGGACGCACTCACTCGCCAGCCAGTCGTTCGTCGTTGTGATCAGCACCCTGTCGCCGCACGCCGAACACTTGTAGTGCTTCCCAAGTCGTAGCCGATCTCGTGCTGCGTTTCCTCCAGCAATTTCTCGCGCCCCCGCTTTTTCACAAAGGCCTCCTTCCGCTCTGTTCTGGCTGGGTATTGCGACGGCTCCACTTCAATGAACGCCATGAGGGTGGCGTGGGCCCTGGCGCGGGTCAAGGATGAGTTCCCTTCTGCCTAGCCCACGCGCCGGGCCTCTGCCTTCGGCACTCGCACGCCCTCGGCGACGTGTTCCACGACGTGGTCGGCCAACGCGTTGCCCAGGAAGTGCACAGGGTCCATTCCTGTGCCGATGGCCTCCGCCGCCGCCATGTGGCTCTCGATCTTGATCATGCCCAGCTGACCGCCGTGCATGGCCGCGCGCAAGTCGTTCCACAGTTCCACGTGCGTCTTGGGTCTCCCTTGCTTCAGCTTGGCCACGCCCCGCATCGCGCACGAGGAGTACGTGACGTACTTGACCTTCTGGAACCCTCATGTGGATCAGCAGATCCCTCAGCGCCTGCAACTCCCCACGCTTGACACTGCTGCCATCCTGCGAGTGGACCACGTCCGCCAGACACTACTATCGGCTCGGCACCATCCGTCGTCTGCAGGTTGACCTAGCCCTAGGCGGCCCGACGACGCCGCGGGTCCCTGGACTCTGGAATATGGAGTTCAGAGGGGCATATGCATAGCGAGCATAATGAGCGTGCCGTCGGTGTGTGGCTCAAGACGCCAGCGCCCGATTTGCCCAGATTGACCGTGGAAGCGGGCGAAAAATCCAATCAGAGTCTTTTGGGGGGCTATAGTGTTATAGGGCCATAGAACTATAGGTCTCTAGGGCTATAGGGCTATAAGGCTAGTTGGTTTTAGGCCTGTTAGGCTATAGGGCAATTGGGCTCTGGGGCTATTTGGCTATAGGGCTTTAGGCCTATTGGGCTATAGGGCTACTGGGCTATGGGGTTATTGGGTCATAGGGCAATAAAGCACCCGGGCACCCGGGCACCTGGGCACCCGGGCGGGCCGCGGAAATCGGTGACACACCTATCCTAACCATAAGGATCCGTTAGGATCCCTGCAGATGCAAGCTCTGATTGGGGAGCCACCAGGCCAGATGCTCCATCGCGACGGTGATCTAGTATATTATCACCGACCCACCACAACGGAGGACGGCTGGGGAGTTTGGAGTGGTCCGTACCCAGTTGCACGCAACGATCCTGATTTAAGACACGCGCTTTACATTGAAGTGCTGATGGTCCGAGAATTCGGTTCAGATAACACAGCGCTTTGAACTGCGTTTGTTTTTCCCGCGAGCCTACATGCAGGAAGACTTGCGGTGACCTTCGGATACTTACCATTTACGCAAGGGGACCTGTGCATGGCATCATCCAGCAAGCTATCGCCCCAGGTGCATCTAGCACTGCAATGCCCGATCCGAATCTGTTTCAGGACCGAGAACGTGGTCGCAGTCCGACTTGCCAAATGTATCCATCTTTTACCAGCTGTCACTTTGGCTGATAGCTGTGCCCCGTTTTACTATGACATCGACGTCGCACCAGGTTTTCATTGTTACGAGTCGAACAGCACAGCCCTCGACATTCGCGCAATCATTAGGTCTAGGCCAGCTTCGATTCGGGCATCTCGAAATTCGGGGCGAGCGCGGACGGCGCTGCATTGCGCGGCGAGACTCGGCTGAAGCGCTTGAGAATGAAGCGCCCCCGCCTACAGGGCGCCCCCCCCCCCCCCCCCACACGCGATCCAAGAATAATCGGAAGCCGACCTCGAGATTTATATCCTCGAAGCTTCGCGCACATAACTTCAAGACGAACGCGAGTTTCTCGAGACCACGACACTCGAGCCACCTTGCATAGTACCAACTGCGATGGTATCAGACCAGACGGTTTTGCTTACCGCGGCCAACGGTGACCCAGGCACTCGTCAGCGCGGAGACGCACACTGCTGCCACAACCGAGACGTGCACCACGTCTCCGTGATTCCACATTATGACGAATTCTATTGACAGCGACAAACATGGCCAAATGCACTTGTATTTGATAGCAGATCTGACCAACGTCTAACTTACGGAACAGCAGTATAGTCTATTCCAGAACGGCAACGAAACCATTGTGCGAATCTACGTCTCCGCAGCAGCTAAACGCGCGGCGGCAGTAAAAGGGGATGACCTGCTCGCCAAGGCTGAAATCACAGCCGATCCAGCGCAGGTAGACGAGACACTTTAAGCTGAGCGAAAGGTTTGATTTGAAAGGAATGGCTTTAAGATGGCATCTCTTTCAGACGCCTCAAACAACATGACCTCGCATCATGCATGCACATAGAAATTCGCCAAGAGTGACAAAGGAGAAATGGTCGGGGCAATCCTTTTAAGATTGACCTTGCGAGGACTCATCGACGTAGAAGCCTCTGATGTAGAAACCTTCTCAGGAACGGCCAGAAGGTCAAGCGGGCGCCTGTTGGCCCGCGAAGGCGCATGTAACTCTGATTTGATAATTGCGTCTATGGACATAGACAGGGCATTCCTAGTGGGCATCACCTACCGCGAGCGCGCAGAAGACACTGAAGAGCGGGAACGCATCGCATGCTGTGCACTACCACCGGGCTCAGAATCTGCGTTGCGAACCCTCCCTGGGCTCGGGAAATACGACGAAAGTTGACGCTGCCTACAGCGTTTAGAGCCAGGCACTGGGACGAAGGACGCCTCGCGAGCCTTCTCCCCGAAGCTTCGCAACATCGCTCTCGGCGTCGACCTTCAAGCCGCGTCTTGATGACGAGGAACTCGAAACAGCGGAGACACGACTGACGGCCGAACACGTGGGCGGTCTCAACATGACTGGAAAGTCGGAATCAATCGATCGCGACGCGAAATGCGTCGAACACATTATCGGCGAATGCTATCTCAGCAAACATACTTGTGCTAACTGTGCCGTATATACGAATAGCGGGAATTGAGATGTCACGCTAGATCATATCAACAACATGTAACACTTCCGCCCCGTTCGACATCCCGACCTCGCCGGTGCAGAGGCTGAGAACTTGTCGCAGACGTGTTCGTCGGCCTCCGTGGAGCAGTAGCGTGCGCTCTTACAAACCAGCCGGCTGACGGCACGCGCTGTCTCTTTACAGCGGGCACAAGAAACGCTTGCATCCAGGCGCGGCGGCTGAGTGCAATTACGCGGAAGCTGCAGAGCCGACCTCAGAAGATAGTCTACCCTGCTATGAAGCCCATTGGAAAAGTCGACCTACACAGCGACTCCGGGTATCGACGATTGACCAGGGACGATTCGGACGGTATGAAAGGTTGTGGCATTCGAGATGCCAGCCTACTCCGGCGTGGACTCACGCGCAATGGTAAATCCGTCGCACACCTGATAGAGGCCCACTGCAAGTCACATCGACTCCAGGTAAGATCAAGCAGCTCTGGGGGCACGTTCGCATCAGCCCATAACTCAGAGGACTGCCACCCGACCGCTGCAATCCTACACGAGCTAAAGGCGGGACCGCTTACGCCCGCGCAACGCAGACATACTTGAAATTCGCGCTCTTTGCATCGAAGTCACCCTCGCCAGTGATGCTGAGTCGGCAGTGAAATCCCTGTCCGACAAGGACCGGAAGAAGCTTACATAATGTATACTGCTAGGACACATTAGTTGGATGAGACAGATGGTGGACAGACGTAGCGCACGCAGCATGCAGCGGTGTGATGCACGGAATATGACGCCCGATGGACATACCAAAGACAGTATAGAACGGGATTCGTCATTGCAAGTAATGGCGGGAATGCAATCCTCTAAGCGCGAGTGGAAGATTTGTAATCCTTTCAGGGCCCCGACCTCTAAGGTTGGGTCCGGCTCATGACGGGCCGACAAAATGATCCTATTTGGCGTGGAGACACGCGTTGAGACAAGCCTGTCTCTTTTTTTGCAGTCTGCTTGTAATGTTATGTTATTTTGCGTTGTCTGCGTCTTTGGGTCCTTGCCACGTGGGCCCCGCAGGGCTGCCGCTGGCGCTCGGCCAGGCCAGCCCCTGCCGTCACTTTGCGGCTCGATCCCGGCTCTAGGCTCGATCGCGCCCGCCACCTTCGCAGGCGCAGCTTGGCGGTGGCCGGGTGGACTTGACTTGTCTTGACGCGGATCCTCGCTCGTTCCTGTTTGTGAAAGACAGCCTGATCTTGCAGCTTGCCCTGCTCGCCCCCCCCCGCCATTGAAGTAGGGGTTCGGAGGGGCATGTGTATGGCGAGCGCAGCGAGCGTGCCGTCGGCGTCTGGCTCAAAACGCCTGCGCCCGATTTGCCTAGATTGACCGTGGACGTGGCAATCTACAATCGTATCAAAAACAAGAGCCGATCAGTCTTCTGGATGGTGCACTATGTCTCATTTATCTTCCAACCTATTTGCACATGGTCCTCATCCTGCTTTTTGCCCCCGGTGCTCTCACCGCCCGACGCGTCGCCCGCTGCGGTCAGCCCGCCGCCCATGTCCAGGTGGTCGTGGCTCTTCTCCAGTTTCTGGCGGTGGCCCGACCTCAGTCCACGACTTGGGCAGCGTGCCGCTGCGCCGCAAGCGCGACTGGATGCTCTGTTCAAGCTGGTCTATGGCCCTCGCCAACAGGTGCTTCGACTTGTGGTTAATCCTCCAAGAGCTCGCTGCGCTTGCACTTCCACGCGCGATTCTCCCAAAACCCCGCCTCCTCGCCACACCTGGGGCGCAGCGCGTCACCGATTTCGATGCCTAGGTCAACCGCGCGCTGCCCCGGCCACGCTCCGCCCGCCATCATGGCCAGGTGCGCCCCGACCTTGTCGTGCACGCCCTTCCGCTAGAGCTTCTTGATCAGCGCTTTCGCCGACCGAAGATCGGCGCCGTCCTCCAGCCTGGCCCCGCAGTAGCGCTTCGCCGCCTCCGACCACTGCCGCTTCTCAATGGCCGCGCCCAGCGCTTGCTTGGGATCGCTGACGTCCACATGGCCATCGAGCGCCTCTGTCGACTCGTCGCCTCCGAAAACTTCGCCACTGCCCGAGACCCAGTGCCGCGGCCCTTTCGGTGCCCAGCCAAGGTCGACGAGGGCGTTGACCATCGCGCCTGCCGCCATCTCGATGGGCCGTGCCATTGGCGATCAGCGCGCGCCGTCCTCCTGAGGTGCTCACCCTTGCCACCTGCGATGCTGTGGCCTCTGTCGATTCCGCGTCCTGGCGCCTGGCCCTTCCTTCACCTTCGCCCGCCACGATGTTTCGGGGGTGCAGCTTGAGCGCCGCACCCCTCGCCGCGCCCATGTTGCTGCCGATCGGCGCCGACTCGGTGGACGGCGTGAGCTTCGCCATCGTAGCGCCCGATGCGAAGTCCGCCCCTGCGCTAGCCAACTGCTTGACCACCTCGCGCCTCGAGCCCTCCATCCTCGCGGTGGCGTCGCCCACCCGTGAGCGGGCGTGGACCTGCTGGAACTTCCCGCTGACCCTCTCCAGCGCCGCGTAGAGGGCCACCCAGTCGAAGTCGATCCCTCGGCGAGCACCTGCGCATATCGACCTGTCAGGCGCTATGGGCTCCGCGCTCGCCGTTCTCCCCCTGATGGGCCCAGCGCCCGAGTGGCTCAGCATCTCCAAGTGCACAGCGCGAGCTGGGATGCCGAGCCTGAGCTTTTCGTCCAGGATCAGGGCGGGCCCCGGCCTGTCGCAGGACTCCGCCGAGCTCCACGAGGCCGTCACCGCGTAGACCTTCATAGGCGGCCGCCCCAGGGCCTCGTCGGCGAAGGAGTGGACCAGAGTCTCTGTGAGAGCGCTGTTGCCCGCGATCGCCGCGCCCCCCTTGCCCGCCGCGTCGGCGGCCCGCTCGCCGGCGCGGCCGCCGCGCAGCATGGGCCAGAGCTGCGCCGCCTCGAGCAGCAAGCCGGTCGCCCGATCGCCTGTTGCGTCTCTCAGCAAAAAGCTCACCAGCGTGATCATCATCTGCCATTGCCAAGTTCCCCGACGCTCAACCTTCTGGATGAGCTTCCTGAGCTCTTCCTTCGCGCAGGCGGAGAAGCCGATTGAACGCCGGGGCTCCGAACTGCTCCATGCCCTTCGCCTTGCTCTTCGCCGCGGTGTCGATCGCGCAGATCAGGCTCTCGATGGTGACGGGCGCCCAGTCCTCCTCCTGCGCGGTCTCCTTCGAACAGACTGTTCGAGCTTGTCCGAGATGGCGGCTCTGCTGAAGCTGCTCTTCCATGTCTTCGACCGCTGCGCGCCCCTCGCGTCCACGCAGTCACCGTTGCGCCGTCGCAGCGAACCCTCATTGTCGCACCGCTGCTGGCCCTTCGCCCTTTCACGCAGCTTGCCGCTGCCCGCGGCTAGGCGAGTATAGGGTCTCGTCGACCTCCGCGCTCTTGCCCTCCCGCGCGGTGGCCGAGGCCGCCGCCCTGGGGCTCTGGAGCTGCCTCTCGCTCATGGACTCGATGCCGGCGAGTGCGACGCGGCGCCGGCGCTTCCCCTCGGCCGTCATCTTCGCGATGCCACCGCCGGGGATGGAGCCGCCCATGTCCCTGCGCGGCGCTCGAAGGCGAACGGCCCTCGCGCCCGCGCCGCCGCGCCTCTGCAGCTCCGCCGGGTAGAACGCCAGCGTGCCCCGCCATCTGATCGACTGGCCCAGGCCCGCGTCGACGTGATAGCCCAACCTGACATTCCCCTTCGTGAATTGCACCTCCTCTGCTCTGCAGCTAAAATTGCGCCTCTCGGTGACTTCGTTCTTGAGCGTTGTGCCGTAGTGCTGTTCCACTGCGCGCGCCCAAGGCCCGTGCTGCGCACCCTTCGCGTCGGCGCCGCGGGGGTCGAACTGCGACGCCGTGGTCTGCTGGGTGCGCTCGTGTGGTGACCTCCATGCTGTGCGATCCCCCACTAGGGTCCCGTCTAGCTCGAGCTGCCACAGCGCCTCCTGCCCCTCGACATCCAGATCGAACACCTCCTCGGCGGCGCGGCCGCGCTCGATGGCCTCCTCCTCGAGGCCGTTGTCGCTGACCTCGCCGCCCCCTACGCTCGACTCGCATTCGCCGAACAGGTCCTCGGCAGCTCCGCGCGCGTGACCGGCTCGACCCTGCTGCCGCTCGCACCCGGGAGGGTGCGCCCCGAGGAGGGCCGAGGACCCACATTCCCCGCAGCGCACAAGAGGCCCTCGCCGAAGCCGTCGCTCTGCTGCTTCTGCGCATTCGCCATGGACCTCTTGCTGCGCGGGTCCGCCTCCCCCTTGGGCACGCCTGGCAACGGGAACGGCTTGGAGGGCATGAGGCTCCGCTGGACGGCGACCAATGCGTCGCCTCGCGAGCGCCGCCGCACTCCGCAGTGATCTCTACGATCTGAGTGGTCCGAGCCCACCTTGTCCAGCACCTGGAGGAAAAGACTCCGAGCATGCCGCGTAGTCCAGCATGCGCGCGGGGCTGCGCGCGCGTGCACGAGACGCCCCGCGGCGCCCTGACCTCTACGCACAGCAGCTTCAACCGCCCCGCCTTCCGTAACTCGCGCGGCTCCACGTTCAAGTCGCTGACCTCTGCCCGAGGCCTGCCGCGGCCTCGCGCGATGGCAGCTAGGCGCGCCATGTTCGTCTGGCTCTCCGACCCCAAGGTGGGGCGCGCATCCGCCATTATGATGGGTGGCCTTTTCACAGCCCAGTCAGCGCCGCCGTATCCTGGAAATCCACGGGGCCCGCTATCCACCCCTCGTCGAGGTGACTCAGCCCGACGGTCTGCTCTTTCTTCGCTGCCCAATGCCGCGTCGAGGTCACTGCGTGGTACGCCCTTGCTGCCATGCCGATGCCGACAGCAAGCTCGCTGTGTTTGTTGTTCGCTGCTTATGCCACGACCGCCTTCCAACCTCTGAAATCTAAGTGCTCCAGGGTGTCGTTCGCGCTGTCCTTGCCGACGTGCGTCTCGGCAAAGATGGCGAAGTCGTCCTTGGGCGAGCCGATATTCCTTGTGAGCCTAGGGCCCCAAGTAGAGAGATTCTGCGTGAAAGTGGAGTAGGTATTGCGAGGATTTCTGCTTGGAGCTGCCGACCTGGCCGCCAGGCCGCGCGACGCGCCTCCGCTGCCTCCGCCAGCTCGCGCTTCTCCTCTGTCTCCTCCGCCGACAGCTCACCCGCGGTCGGGCTGCCCGCGGCCGCGTCAGCGCCAGGTGGGGCCGCCTCTCTGCCGCTGCGCCAGCTGGGGGAGCTCCAGCTGCTTGCTGAGGTTGAGGCTCGACGCGCGCCTGCTCGCCGTCGTAGACCTTGCTTGCTCTTCTTTCCATGAGCTCCCTCTCCTGCTGCCGCGCCTTGAGCTGTTCCGCCGCCGCTGCGAATGCTTGCTTAGCCGCCTGCTTTGCCGCCGGGGCGAAGTCCCTCTTGCGCTTGTTGATCTCCTGCGGGAGTCCTATGGGCTGGCGCCCTCGCCGCCAATCTCGAGCACGTCGCCAAGGTCCACCTCGCTCCCGGCGTTGTCCTCCAGGAGCTCTCCGATGGGTAGGAGAGGTTCGTGGCCTTGGGGGTCTTCTTCGGCGCCGACACTGAGCGGGCGCCTGCGAAGCTCCTCCGTACGAGGTCCCCCTCCGCAGTTGCGAGCTCCTCCCTGAGGCGCCCCCTCCTGCGGCGCTCTCTGCTGCGCCGCCTTGCATTTCTGAACTCGATCTTCTGCTTGCGGCTCGTGAACCTGGTAGTGGTTGCTGAACAGCTGATGCTTGGACTGGTTTCGACTCTGCGAGCAGCTGCTCGAGCTTGCCCTTCTGGTCGCCCTCGGCCACTGCTGCTGCGCGCTCGAGTAGTTGCCGTTCGGATTATTCTCCTCGGTTTCGGTGTTGCCGAGCTTTTGGGCCGCTTGGCTTCTGGCGCTGGCTTGCCGCCCTGAGGACTGGCCAACCTCTTCAATCACGAACACCTCCACGAAGTAGGGCTGCATCCATTCCAGGGGGAGGTTTCGCCCCCCAAGCGATGGCACCGCATTTGTGCGTGAACGATTCCTCTGCCAGCCCGTCCATAAAGAGCCAGTTGCCGCACTGCTGACAATAAGCTCTCTGTCCACTGCTTCCACCTCCTGACTGCTGCGCTCGCCAAGGCGCCCACTGACGAAGCCAAGGCTCACGTATGAACTTGCCGTTGCCGAAACACCCGTTGCCACCACCGTTGCCGCTTCTGCGAGGGGAGGCGCCATGGCTGCGGGGCGCGGGCGGATATGAAACTCGACCTCGCGGGCGCAAGGAAGTCGTAGGAAATGTGTCGTTTGTTGGTGGCCCTGGACCTATGGTCTCCGTGTTTGGCCACAGGGCGAACCCATCTTGAGTCAAAACGGCGACGGAGCGGCGGCGGCGACGACGACGACGACGACGACGCCGCCGCCGCCGCCGCCGGCGACCACGGCGACGACGACGACGACGACGACGACGGTGGCGGCGACGACGTCGCCGACGCCGACGCCGACGACACCGACAACACCGACGACGCAGATACCGACGCCGACGCCGCCGCCGACGACGACAACGACGCCGTCGCCGCCGCCTCCGCCGACGCTGACGCCGACCTGCTGCGCGCCCCCAATTTCGGGGGGTCGGCGGGCTCCTGTGCGCGGGCGGCCTCGGGACCGCGACGGCCACGCGCCTGAAGAGGCTGCCCAAGGTCCTGTCCAGGCCAGCCGCGCGGCGCTGGGAGAGGGTCGAAGAAGAAAGGAGGAGGCGGAGGAGGGAGGAGCAGGAGGAGGTAGGGAGGAGGAAAAGGGAGGAGGGAGGAGAGAGGGGGAGGGAGGAGGGAGGAGGGAGGAGGGAGGAGGGAGGAGGAGGAGGAGGAGGAGGAGGAGGAGGAGGAGTTACGGAATTACGGATGTTGCGATCATGTTGGTTAACGATTGATTGGAATGAAAATTTCGCCCTAGCAGTAGTCCGCCCGGCCTGTTCAAACGCACTATAGGCATTCGGCAATTTGCCTTGCGAGATGCTTTGCAGATGGTCAACCCAGTTACCTGTTGCGCGTCCTGGACAAAGGGGCCCCAAGCTTCACGAGCTGCTGATCTGTGAACTTGCCGCACTTCCCACAGCACCAGAGTCCTGTTCCAGAGTGGAACTTTAGTTGGTGACGATCGTGAGACAATCCCCCACATATGTGCGCCCGACGCCCCTGGTGGAGGTCGAACATCACATCATCAATGGCCCGCAGCGGATAACAAGGCGAATCCAGCCAGGTCCGACGAGCAGCTTGGCAGGTCGAGCCCCCATTTTGCAGGCACGATCTACTTTTTCGAGAGACGGTGCATCGTGAAAAAAGCCGAACACATCTTGGGAGCAGAAGGCCTGGGTCCAGGGTGACTAGCTCGGGCCCTCTGGGGCTCCTCAAGAGACAAGGCCTGTTCAGCTTCAAGGGTCTGTCACGTACTGACAAGCACCCGCATCCAAACGAAGAACGCTTGACATTCAACCTGCACAACTCGGACCCTGTCGCGAGCTGGTACTCTACAAAGCTTAGCATCTCCACTAGCTAGGATATCCGCAGCCGTATCCCCCGCTACAAACTAGGGAAGATGGACCATTCACTATGCCCTGGGCCTCCTGATGCGAGTGGACAACCATGACACAACACTGGACACTTTTGACGCCTTTTCAGCTCAGATTCTATGGCATGCCACACATCACAATCCTCACCCTCGGGGCACCAAGGACGGCCGCTATGCCATCCTTCATAAACATTTGAATTGTCGGAGACATAAGCGATATGACAGTCACCTCCCTGGATGGCTGTGAGAAAGGCGAACGACTGGAGGAGGAGGAGGAGGAGGAGGAGGAGGAGGATCGATGTCGCATCCTTGAGCACTGACGCACCAACGTGCGGCAGGCTGCACTGCCTCTGCGTCGACCACCTCTGGCGTCCCTGATGACGCTGATGGTGGTGGTGATGATAATCGTGGTGGTGACGATGCCGATGGTGTTGAGGGCGATGAGGGTAATAATGATGGCGATAACCATGATTAATGATGACTACAATGTCACTGATGGTGATGGTGAAGATGATGATGGTGGCGATGATGACGACGACAACGACGTTGCCGTTGTCGAGGACGACGATGGCGACGTTGACAGAGACGGCGATGCTGACGGTGACGACGACCACGGTAATGGTAACGGCGAGCCCGAGGGCGAGGCCAAGCAGGGGCAGGACGAGCCAGCATTCTCCTCGCTTTCTCCCTGCATGGCTTCCCCTTGCCAGGGCCGCCTACGATCCGATTCGATGCGGTTCGCTTCGCTGGCTGAGGCCGCGATAGAGATTTGATTCGACTTGTCTCGATTAGCTGGCATCGACATGGCCAGCCAGAACCAGGCACGGTGGCCGGATCTCGATTCGTTTCGGTAGGATTCGTTGGCGATCCGATACGTTTCCGACCCGATCGGATTTCGCGATTCGATCCAGTTGAGGCCAGCTTGTTCATCCTTCCTCGCCCTCCCTCCCTCACACCCTCCTTTGCTGCTTGCAAAATCAGTCGAATACATCAAGACAAGTGGTGAACATGTAAAACAACGCCGAGAGCTGCCAAAGCATCGTAATATCGACGAGCACCTCTCTCCTCCCTCCCTCTCCTCTCTTCTCCCTCATCATCGCTCCCTCTTTCCGTCTACCTCCGAAAAAACCTTCCCTGAAACGTCCGAGACCTGCCACGACGTCCGAAAGCCGCCCAGCACATCCCACCCCCCTCGCTCCTCCCTTTTCCCTGCCTCCCTCCGTCCCTTCCTCCCTCTCCTAACACCATTTCTGGTACGTTGATCATGGGAACCCGTGAATCTCTTGCAATTTGTTAAGACGAGTGCGCGCGGCGTTAAAGCGAGAACCACATTCAAAAAATAATAAAAAAGGAACCGCCCTTAACCCATAAAACTCTTGCAATTGTTTAAGACGAATGTGGGCGGCGTTGAGGCGAGAGCCACATTTTGGAAAGGAACTGCCCTCAATCCGTGAAACTCTTGCAGATGTTTAAGACGAGTGTGCGCGGCGCTAAGGCGAGAGCCACAAATTGAAAACGACTCGCCCTCAATCCGTGAAACTCTTGCGAAAGTTTAAGACGAGTGTGCGCGGTGCTAAGGCGAGAGACATATTTTGAAAACGTCTCGCCCTCAATCCGTGAAGCTCGTGCGAATGTTTAAGACGAATGTGCGCTGCGCTGAGGAAAGAGCCGCATTTTGAAAGCCACCCGCCCTCCATCTGTGAAAGAGTTGTCAACGTTTAAGCTTCTCAGTCATAAATGGTGAGGAAGTCTCAGGCGAAACGCCCGGCCCGCCCTAACAACTTGCCTCTGGGTGCGACAGGGAGAAGTTTTTTATGAGGAGGAGGAGGAGGCGGATGACGAGCAGGGAGTAGGAGGATGAGGAGGAGGCGGAGGCTGAGGAGGAGGAGGAGGAGGAGCAGGAGGAGGAGGAGGAGGAGGAGGAGGAGGAGGAGGAGGAGGAGGAAGAAGAGCAGGAGGAGGAGCAGGAGCGGGAGGAGGAGGAGGAGGAGGAGGAGGAGGAGGAAGAGGAGGAGGAGGAGGAGTAGGAGGACTTGAAGTGATATGGCTTCGGGGCGCCTTAACCCCATGGGTGGAGCCAGCAAGAGGAGGACCAGGAGGAGGACCAGGAGGAGAAGGGGTACCCTGGACCCCCCCCCGCCACGCGCGCCCACCGGAGGTGCCTGTCCCCCGCCGTTCCTGGGCTTTGGGGGCGCTCGGCGCGCGCGCCGGAGCGAACTGGGCGCCCCCGGCGGCGGGCCCCGCGGATTCTGCCCCCGCCGCCCGCGAGGGAGGGCGGGAGGGGGAGGACAGGACAGGACAGGGTAAGGAGGTGGAGGAGAAGGAGGCGGAGGAGGAGGAGGTGAAGGAGGAGGAGGAGGAGGAGATGAGAAGGAGGAGGAGGAGGAGGAGGCGGAGGAAGAGGAGGAGGAGGAGGAGGAGGGATAGGACAGGGATGGGCGGGAGGGAGGGCGGGAGGGCGGGAGGGCGGGACGGGGGGACGACGGGATAGGAGAGGATAGGACCACATAGGACATGATAGGGTAGAGAGGGCGGGAGGGGGATGATGAGGAGGAGGAGGAGGAGGAGGAGGAGGAGAAATGTGGAGTAATGCGGAGTAATGCGGGTCAGACGGCTCGCGATGTCCCAAGATATCGCGCCGTGGGTTGCCTGGCCGCTGCGGGTCGTCCCCGAGACGAGCCAGAAAACAAGTGCCCTCGAGGGCGTACCTCCGAGGGGCTTCTTAGTGGTGGGATGCAAACCTTCCCACAGACGATTCAGCCTACCCCCGATCACTCTTTGGGCCCCAGGTCGACGTGGGAAATAGGCCCGACCACCCGTCGCGGGCGTACTTGGCACACCTGCTACAGGAGACAAAATTTCGGCGGAACACGAGTTTATGCCCTG